ATCTACTATTTATTTATCTGATTGGCACACACTTATAGTACCCAGTGAATATGTGAAAACCATAGAACAAAACTGCAGAACCACACAATAATTTTATGTATGGACATGCATAGATATACTTTCTAAAATATTTAAATAAAACATCAGATGAAATATTAAATGGGTTGTGTGTATATTTTATTTGTTGTTGATTGTTGTGTGTATATTTTGTTAGGTTTTGTGTATTTTGAAGAGGTATTTACACAGATAGACAATATTCACTGAGTGAGAGACCTTGCCTGCAGCCTGCATTTCTCACTGTGGGCATTTTTTATGTGTGTTTAGAGCACCAAGTTCATGTACTGATTTTGTATTCTGTGCAACAAGGTAGTAGACAGATGATCTTGCAAAGACCATTTCTTTGGTCTTTCTGTATGTGATTCCCAAAGAAAACTTGGCATCTAACAAGATGAACAGTTGAGAGAAAGGGAAGGCAGGCATGCACTGTAATCTCCCAAGTGCATCAAACATAGATTTGGGGCTATTACTTTTTCTGCTAGAGTGAATTTTGAACGTAGGTCTCCTGAGAGACATACTGTAGGGTGAATTCCAAAGTATCTGCCACAGAATTCTTATAACCAAGGGAGTTTCAAAGAAAAATAGTAACCCCATTGACTAGGGAAATACACTATTAACAGATTGATTCCCACAGGCCTGACGGAGTACTCAGTTTCCAAAGCATGATTTGGCTTTGTGAACAAAATGGCACTCTTGTGCCATACCATGATAGCAACACATTTGTTGGAGTTAGCATTTTATGACGTGTACACCTTTTCACATTTCTTCATTCCAGTACATGTGAGCTGCTTCGATTTATGAAGGAATTAGGTATACGCATACAATTAATTGTGAAGGATTCCATTAACATATATGGCACATCCAATTCACCACAGGTATGCAGAACAGGTCCATGGTGAGTCCAGAATGGTATGTACTTCCAAACTACATGGCTGATCTTTGGCTTATGCTGCTGGAATATGCCAAGGAAAATTGTTCTGCCAGAGATGCTCATGGTATATTTGGCAACTGCAAGAGCATGATTTTGGTTTGCAGGTGTCTTCACTGTGCAGATCATTCAACTAGTTTGGGATGTTATTTGCGATAGTGGTGATGCTCAAGCTAACTCTAGTTAATATTACACAGAAGAAGGATGTAGTAACTCACTTATGAATTTTCTTATCTTGAAAACCTTATAAAGAAGCAATCCAAAATGAAACAAGAGATAGGGCCAGAACATAAGACCCCTAAGTTGGTCTTATGACCCCTAAGTTCACTTTATGAGCTACTGGGGAAGGGCAAAGGACAAATACTAGTAGTATTGGAGCTCATAAAACTACTAGATCAAAACCAAAAAAAAGTTTAGTGGCCAACATGCACAGAGGTGGAAGGAAATTATGTACAACGTATACTATTGGGACATGGAATCTGAATCGGGCAAACTGGAAATCATAAAGCAGGAAATGGAATGAATGAATTTTGCAGTACTTGGTGTGAATGAACTAAAGTGAGCTGGAGTGGGACATTTCCAGACAAACATATACCAAATGTTTTACTCCAGAAATGATAAACTCAGAAAAAATGGAGTGGCTGTAATACTAAGGAAAGATGTAGCAAGGCAGTAAGAGATTATAGTCCAAAATCCAGCTGTATAATATCAACCAGAATTAGTGGAAAACCTATCAAAGTAATGTTCAAGTCTCTTGTCCAAAAGTTTGGCCTAGGGGTAAGAAATGAAGCAAGGGAACCGCTCATAGAATTTTGTGAAGCCAACATCCTGTTCATTGAAAATGCATACTTCAAGCTACCACTCAGATAATTGTATACATGGACTTCATCATATGGCCACTACAGAAATCAAATAGTTATGTAATTGGAAGCAGAAGTAAAAAGGCTCTATTCTTCTCTGATCAAAACAAGACCAGAAGCAGACTGCAGAAGTGAACATCAACTTTGAATTTCAAATCAGACTTAAACTAAAAAAGATCACCAACAGAAACAGTGCCAAAATATAACTTAAGTAATATCCCTGAAGTCCACATAAAGAATAGATTTGCATTGCTCAACTTAACTGACCACAAGCCAGAAGAACCGTAGACTAAAACATTATTAGGGAAGGATGCCAAAAGACAATTCCTGGAGCACAAGAAAGAAGAAGCCTATAAGAATGGCAGAGGAAACACAGTTGCAAAGGACAGGCAAGAAGCAAAAGGTGTCAGAAATAGGGTCAGATTCCTGAATGCAACTTTTCAGAGACTATCAGATCCAGGTCAAGGAGCACTCCTATGCTGCGGACCCTGTCCTTTAGAGGGAGTGCAACCCCATCCAGGACAGGGCCAAAATCACTTACCTGAAAGCCCAGACCACCTACCAAAAGGACCTCTGTCTTATCTGGACTGAACTTCAGCTCATCCAGCCCATTACCTCAGTCAGGCACCAGTTCAGGACAGCCAATGCCTCACCTGGATTAGTTGAAAAAGAGAGGTAAAGCCAGGGCCGTCTTAACAGCATTATGGGCCCTGGGCAAAGCAGTGTACTGGGGCCCCTACGAGAACTACAACTACTGTTAATTTTGGAAGTTTTCCAATTTTCCAAGGGTTAATATACACAGATTAGTATGGGGCCCATGGGCAAGTGCCCATCAGGTCCATGCGTTAAGACAGCCCTGGGTAGAGCTGGATGTCATCAGTGTACTGGTGACTCTGCAGCGCGAACCTCTTGATGACCTATCCCAACAGTTTCATGTAGACGTTAAATAGCAAGGGGGACAAAATGGAACCCTGTGGATCTCCATGGCAAAGTTGCCATGGCACAGAGCCATAGTCCCTCAGCACTACCTTCTGGAATCGGCCAGCCATGTAGGAATGGAACCAAAGGTTCAGCTTTGGATATTCTCAACATGTGTAAAGTGAACTTCTCTCTTCTTTGATTGCTTGGAAAATTTAAATTCCCCTAGGTCACATTTGCTGCTGATTTTCTTTTGCCTTTTGAACTCATTAATATTTCGTTTTGAGCACATTACACAGAAGTCTCATTTTGATATAATGCTGTTATGTGAACAGGCCTTGGGCTCATTGTTCTCTCCTCCTTTGTTTCCACTCTTAACTACTTGTTGACCACTTGATGTTCATCAAACCAACCCTTAACCATAGCTAAGACTAGCCATAGTTTCAGGTTTGGTTGACTGCAAATAGAATAGCTTCTGATCTCTTTGCAGAACCCAAAGCTTGTTCATATAAATCTAACCCATAGTGCAGTGCCAGGTCTGAACCAAATCATTATAAAAGCATCCCTTTGTTTTTTGCAAGTGTAAAGATGCATCTCTCTAGGCTCCAATCCTCTGTATGTTTACGAATTCCATTTGTTTCACTCCTGATTATATCCACCTATAATAGGGTATTTGTAACATAGTAGTTTTTGAGATAACTCTTCCAGATGAGTACACTTATTCCTACTGAATTTTAGATGGTTTCATGTGGATCTTGTTTATTGCATCAATTGCTAAACAACAGAGACTACACTGAATGGCAAATTTCCTGCATCCCAAAGGACATGGTTTGTGGTATTTCCCCCTCTTGTCCTTTGGAAACACTATTTTAAGCTATCAAATCAATATACCCATTACACTTCCTAAAAATAAGTGGTGTCCAGAGTCATTATGAGAAGGTTGTACAACTGAGTCAACTTGAGGCGTTCACAATGTATGAGGCTGGTCATTCACAGGGCACTGAACCAGGTAACTGAACAGAATGGTGTGGGTGCTAGGAGGTAGGGAGACAGGATCACAGGGTGCTTCATCTTTTTATACCAGTGGTGGGCAGCCCTTTTTGACTTCCTGTCAGGGGTTGCAGTCCACTGGGGGTAATCTGATGGGGGCTAAGTGGGCAGAGCTAGAGAGCAAGGTAGGTGGGGCAATCCTTGGTCTCTTGGTCTCTCTCTTTCTGCCATACCCTTTTCTCCCATCTCCTCACCAGCTTGTAGTTCATGTTAACATGGTCATTTATACCATTTCCAACGGGTATTTACCATTTCATACATGGCTTTCGAATTTTATCCATTCCCTTTATTTTCCCCTTGAAAAAGTGTCTTGAAGAATGCGTTGCGAGCGGAGGTCTCAGCCATTGCCGAATGTTCCTCCAAGGTAAGATTTGTGTCCATCGGAGAGCGTACAGCTGAGCTCCAGCTCCAACTCCCCCTGCCTGGCAGTGTTAATTGCCATTGACTGTAATAGAATATGAATAGCACCAGCCACTTGACACCAACTTAATGGTTCTGACTTTTCAGTGGCTGAGAGTGTTAAGGCTAGAGGGGAAATAGGGTCAGAGAACAGATAAGAGCCCTTCTGATTCTATTGAAAAAGATTAAAGCGGCTGCGTCTTTGAAGTGGCTTTTGTGAGGTTTGCCATTTATATGAAGTCATGTTAAAATAGGAAGTGATTGGGAGGTTTCGCAATTGCAGACGCACCATTAAAGTACTTTCTCTGTGACATTCCCTTAATATTGTTCGGGTCATGGCAGAACAAGAAACAACAATTGGCTATCTCACATCTTTGAGATTTGAAGAAGAGATAATCACACAGCCCTTATGAATTGCTTCAAGGGCCACATGACCCTGAACCAATCTTTACAACAGGACTACATAAAGTGGGTAGCAATCCTCTGTAATCTTATATGGTGAGGGGGAGGAATGCAGGAAAAGGAGAGTTCCCCAGGGGATCCTGCAAACTAGGAGTTAAGATTTGGGAGGGTTGTTCATTTGAACACAGAAATTCGCTCAGTGGCACTCTGATCTAGCTCAATAGCCAGCCGGTTGCTTGTACTTAAGGTGCCTGTGAACACAGGGAATTCCATTCCACTGCCCCGTGGCTAAGCATTATTAACCTGGTTTGCAAAATCCTCTACAGTAATTTCCCCTCTCCTTTTGAATATTCAAGCCTTGATTGTTGTGCATCCCCTGCAAGAGTGACAACTCATGCCAGCAGCTCTCCCTTGCCAAGTCTACATACAAGGCATCAGGGCAACTGCCTGCTGTGGCTTAAATATTTAAGATAGCCACTGATATGTGCCAGGACCTGCTGTGGCTGAAACGAGCTTGTGCAGAATGGCCCATCAGAGCCATCTTTTCTGTACTTGCCCAGGCCCCTTTCAGTGGTGCCTAAGGTAATGTTCATTGCCATGCCCCTTGTCATACCAGTGAGCCCCTTACATTACATATGTGTTGTGGGTTGCGGGGCACTGCTTAAAAGTGTCCTGAACCTACTGCCAGTCACGTTCTTTGACCCATCCCGTGTCTTGTATTAGAAAAGAAGGAGAAAATCTTCATGCTTCCATGATTTTGTAGGCTGGAACATGTTTCCTGAGCTGACTGCACTAAGCATGTACAACCAAATTAGGGGGCAGAATTATTCTAATACCATGGGCAGCAATTCTCAAAGAAATCTTCTTTAAGTGGAGATGCCAGGAATTGAAATCAGGATGTTATGAATACAAAGATCAGGAGTCCCACTGAGCTCTGTTCCCTCCCCTCCCCCTCCCGCTTGTGTGCCTAGCAAATGGGCCCCCCTTCCATGCAGTCTGAACTGCTGGGTGCTTGCACATGGCGAAATGCTGGGTCAGGCAGATACAAAATAAGTGAAGTGACCTCTTAGTTACTTTTAATGAACATAAGTCTGCAAGCCAATGTACCCTGCCAATTTGGAATAAAAAAGGTGCAGTTTTGTACTTAAAGCACCTATACAACAAAAATAAAATAATGCATGTTTTGGTAAATAGCCATTCAGTTTATGTTGCTGAAACTGGCTACTCTTCCCCCTGGGGGTGTAGAGGACTTTGCTTAACCTGGAAGCTTGCTTAGCAAATAGGTAAAAGGGAAGGGCTTGCGTCATCTGCTTTGCCTTACCTTATTTTCCAAGTCTGATACACAATCCCATCTCTGTGGAAAAGTTAATTTATTATTACATTTATATATTCTGTGCTTTTCCTCTTGTGGGAAACTATGCTCGCCTCTCCATTTTACGCTTACAACAACCGTGTAAGGTAGGTTAGCTGAACATCAGTGACTGGCCCAAAGTCACCCAGTGGCTTTCATACCCAAGTGGGGATTAGATCTCCTAAGTCCCAATCTAGCAGTCTAATCATTATGGCAGACTGGCCATCATAGCCCACTTGGGCAGGGAGCAGGACAGAGGGATGAAATCCTGATGGGCCACATCAGGCCTGACAGATGGATTAAGCCTTGGATTAAGGATTTATTAGGATGGGAGCCATCCAAATTAGTGGCCATCACTACTTCCTATGGCAGTGCATTCCATGGTTTATGTACTGTGTGAAGAAGAAGTAGTTCCTTTTATCTATTCTGTAAACTAAATAGGATGGCGCCAGGTTCTAATATTATGGGAGAGGGAGAAAAACGTTTCCATCTCCACTTTCTTCATGCCATGCATAATTTTAAACACCTCTCTCATCTTTTTCCTTACTCACATTTTTCTAAGCTAAACAGTTGTTGTAGCTGCTCCTCACAGGACAGCTGCTTCAGCCCCCTGATAATTTTTGTGGCCCTTCTATGTACCTTTTCCAACTAAAGAATGCCCCCATTTAGGTAAGGGGACCAGAACTGTACACAGTATTCTAATATTGTTGCACCATGGATTTGTGTACCAGGAATACAATTTTGGCAGGTTTAATTTCAGTTCCTTTCCTGATTATGCCTAATATGAATTTGCCTTTTTCACAGCAGCTGTGCACTGGGCCAACATTTTCATCAGGTTGACCACTACAACCCCAAGATCCTTTCTTGATTGGGCACTGCTAGCTCAGTTCCCGTCAGCCTATATTTAAAGTTGGGATTTTTGTCTCACAATGCCCTGGGTGACTTTTATCTTCAGAATGGTGCGCACCCTTGTCATGAGCACCTCTTAGGGTTCTGCCATTTCTCTCCCAGATTGCTATCTAGTTATGTCTAAGCTTTGCCATCTTCTGATCCTAATCATCTTGCTGATGATTGGGATATACTTCTGGACAACCTGCTAGACAGTTCTTTTCTGAAAGTTACAGCAAAATTTGAACATTCTTGCCTTATGGTATACTAAAATAAATAGGAAGTGGATAAAGCTTTCTCCTTTCCTTTTCTCTTCCCTTCTGCTTTCACAGAAATAAAAAAGCTATTATAGTTCTAATGGATAACAATGGTGTACTTACATTTATATAGCACTTTAAATTGCTAAAGGACTGCAACTATATATTACTTATTAAAATTTAT